TGTGTATCAATGCAAAAGTTACAAAAAGGAGCTCATTCCAGTTGCAAATGGCCCTTGTGGGCTTGATTGATGTTGTGAGGATTGATCTTTTTACTGATAGAAAAGGAAACAAAGAATTTTGTGTTGCATGCTATTTTTGATCATCATCTATTAACAAGCAAAGGATGCTGAACTTTTTAATCTTCGTCCTTTCTCCTTAAGATTCATCGAACTGGAAAGTTATCCAAAAAGAGTGGTAGGTCTTTAACAACTTTGGCAGCACCTTTTGCATTTCTGTTGTGCTATATTACTGTTGCATGTAAAGGCATCACAATCTTTTACCTTATGAATTATAAGTGGATACCATATCATTCATCGTTTTTTCTTTTTTATTGTTTCATTCATGTTACACTCATCTAATTGGACTGTTAACTTATATCGAAATCTTTCCCGTAAATATTATAGCTTCTCAATTTACTTCATTAACTTTCTCACTAAAAGCACATTTCTATGACACATGCCATTCCTTTTTGTTATTTGTTTAATTTGTGAAATGGGTGGTGTAGTCAACTGTTTGAAGCTTGTTAACATTTATTTATTGTTAATTTGGAAAAATCCTATCTGCCTTTAATCATGAACTATGTTTGGTATTTTGCAACTCAAGTTCAGAAAATCCACATATTGATATCTTTGGAGAATGCCTCAATGAGAAAGATCATCTGGCTTTGGGACTGCACAGAACCTCTTGAAATCTGCTATAATTATAATATGTTCATCTTTGGAACCTTTGGGTTTTTGGGTGTTGAATAATCTTTTCACAATAATATAATTTATTTATTTTAGCATTGTGCTTCTAGTTTTATTTGTTTCACTTCCTATTGCATATAGGTTTGCCGTAGTAGAATTCGACTTCCATTATCTTTGATGTTCCTAGTAATTTGAATGATTTGTTTCTCCCACATAATTTTCTCTGTTGACTTTTTTCTAGTTTATTCTAGTTTTGTTTAGCTCTAATCACTGCTCTGTTGTCCATATAAGTTGCACCTTCTTTCATTGCAATGCCTGATGCCATCTCAGGTTCATAATTCTTGGCAAAGGGAGCATCTTGCATCTCGACTTCTTTCTGTTCATCATTCCATCTATGTAAGAAATGCTGCATGCGTCACAGCTAATTTTTTTTTCTCCCATCCATGAAGATCATACATTGAATAAAGGTTTTCTTTTTCTGGTAAAAAGGTCTGTCTGTCAAATATCGTAGTCATATATTGATCTTCTAGAGTCTCTACTTGTTATGTTTATCGTATATGATCACTTTATTCTTAGTCCACACGAACATCGTGTTTTTCACTTATGTGAATTGATGACCTTCTGTTGTAGTTTCATATTAGATAATTGTATCGTAAATGATTCAAAGATCTTTTTCTGTTATCTATTATGTTGGATGCTAAAGGTTTGGAAATTATGTCACAGTGTTGTATTGGTATAGTCATGAAACCCTTATTTCTGTGCTATTTAGATTTCCGCTAAATGAATTGGACTTAATGATATCATTTTCCTTTATGAAAGCAAACTATTGTATATTTAATTTATGCAGAACAATGGAAGCTAGTGATGCTGAGCCCATGAACACAGAAATAACACCACCAACTTCAAGGCGCAGGAGAAAGAAGTCAATGGTGTGGGAACACTTTACTATTGAAACTATATCCGGTAGTTGTACACGGGCTTGCTGCAAACTATGCAAACAAACCTTCGCATACAGTAATGGCTCAAAAGTAGCAGGTACTAGCCACCTCAAAAGACACATTGCTCTGGGTTCCTGTCCCAAAATTAAAAATCTGGAAAAGCAACAGCTTGCTCTTACTTCGGATACAAAAGCTGATGGAGATACAATTGAGCCAACCAAAAGACGCTACAGAACATCTAGCTTTGGGTATGCTTTTGACCAGGAACAGAGCTGCGCATATCTTGCAAAGATGATAATTGTTCATGAATACCCACTTCATATGGTTGAACACCCTGCATTTCTGTCATTTGTTCAAAGTATCCAACCACGATTTAAGATGATTGATGTCAACGCCATGGAAGGTGAAGTCTTATCTGTATATCACAAGGAAAAGCTTAACCTCATGCAGGTCTTAGGAACTTTACCTGGGAGGATCAGCCTAACTATAGGTTTGTGGACAACTAGTCAGACTCTTGGTTATATTTGCCTTAGTGGGCAGTACATAGACCTTGACTGGAAGTTGCATAGAAGGATGCTTAATTTCATGATGGTAGCGTCTCCTCATTCAGAAAATGCTCTTAGCGAAGTTATTAGTGTTAGTCTTTCAGATTGGAATATGAAGACAAAGTTGTTCACTATCACTCTGGACAACAATTGTTCATCACATGACATCTATAGTGCTAATCTTAGAGATCATCTCTCAAACAAGAACACACTTGTGCTGAAAGGTCAGTTGTTTGTTGTCCGCTGTTATGCCAATATCCTGAATGTAGTTGCCCAGGATGTGATTGCTTCAATTCATGGTATTGTGTACAACATTCGGGAGAGTGTGAAATTTGTAAAAGCTTCTCCAGCTCGTGAAGAAAAATTTTCTGAGATTGCCTTACAAATTGGAATTCCTGGTACAAAAGCTCTTTCTCTTGATGTTACAACATTATGGAACACGACTTATATCATGTTGGATGCTGCCTTGGAATACAAAGAGGCATTCACTTTCTTAGAAACATGTGACGATAACTATAATGAAGCACCATCAGCTGATGACTGGAAGAAGGTGGAGGTTGTTTGCACATATCTGAAACTTTTGTATGAATCTGCAAACACAGTCATGGCGACAATAGATCAAACTGCAAATATATTTTTCCAGGAAGCTTGGAAAATCCAGCTAGAACTGACTAATGCAACATTGAGTCAAGACCTGATGGTGAGCAGCATAGCTAAGGAGATGCATGAAAAGTTTGACAAATATTGGAAAGATTGCAGCCTTGTTTTGGCACTCGCTGTGGTGATGGACCCTCGTTTCAAGATGAAGCTTGTTGAGTTCAGTTTCTCAAAGATTTATGGTGAAGATTCTGCCAGATACGTCAAGGTGGTTAATGATAGTATTCATGAGTTATATATCGAGTATGTTGCGCAGCCACTTCCTCTGACTCCTGCATATATAGATCAAGGGGAGGCCAACCATGTAAATGGCAATGACAACAATCCGCATACAACTCCAAATCCCATGGGAGATGGGCTTCTAGACTTTGATATCTATCTTTCTGAGACGGCAGTGAATCAGGCAACAAAGTCCGAGTTAGACCAGTACTTAGAAGAGTCCCTTGTCCCACGTATCCAAGGGTTTGATATCCTGAACTGGTGGAAGCTCAACAATCTCAAGTATCCAATTCTATCCAAGATGGCTAAAGACATATTAGGCATTCCAGTGTCCATTGTGGGTACAGGATGTTCCATTTTTGGCTCAGGGACCGGAAGCAGAGTACTTGATGAGTATCGGAGTTCCTTACGTCCAGAGACAGTGGAGGCTCTCTTTTGTGCGAAAGATTGGCTCCAGTATTTACCCACCTTTACAGAGTCACCATCAACCATGTTTGCCAAACTGGAATTCTAGCTTATCCATTAAAATATGTCTATTGTAGCATTATGGATAAGTGCATGATTAGACAAGGTTTGTCACCTCTGACTGGTATTTTGAGATCAGGAAATCGGATTCTACAGCCAACTGTTTCTCCATTACCTTAACTTATCTGTAGTCTCCATTAGCATGTTTTACTCTTGTCCAAGATTTCATCTTCTGAGGCTGCTGCTGATTTGCTGTTAGTGATTATCCAGGATATACTATTTGGTAATGCCATGTAGCCTAGATATGTATATTTGTGTTTTGATCTTAGAGTATGCCCTTTCTCTCTATTATCAAGGGGTCATATGCCTGTTGACAATGTCTGATCAAATATATTTGTATGCTTGATATTTCTCTCTATTATCAAGGGTTTGTAGGTTGCATGTATAGGCCTTAAGACAGTGCAGTTGTCTTAGAGAATCAAATTCCAAGCCGAATTCTAGTACCTGCTTTTCCATTGTTTTCTGTTTTTTAAAATTGTTTCAGCAAGCATAATTGTTCAATTGTTTGTGCAAGGATTCAAATCTACACACTTATCCATTATGTTTGATTTGGCCTAATCCCTTTCTTTATAGGACTGTCTTTACATTATCTGCTCTTCCTGTTCATCGAGCATCAATGTGGATAGCACATCTTATTTCTCACCTCATGACCTTTATACGACCTTGATTCACAGTTCATCAAATCCTTTTCATAGTCAATGAATAGTTTATGACTTTTGTTTTATTTATTTATTTATTTATTTTCCTTGGTTCTTCAAAGGTCTTGAAACATTTCAAGCCTTAATTGAAATTATGAACATTCAAGTGATCATAGGGATGGATACACAGAATGTGAGTTTGGTTGTATTCTCTTAATTAACTCCTTTTTCTTTTTTCCTGTGATTTGATTTATATAAATTTAATTTGTGATATTTGTCAAATGCTTAAGTCAAGATGAATTGAATTGATATTAGTGGATTGATAACTGTAGAAAAATAATGAGATGTAGGGAACATAAAATGTTAAGGTCATAAAGGTTTTTTTGTTGATTCTCATTGGATGACACATGTCCGACGCTACTCAGGTGAACATGTAAAATGCATAAACCTAAACTGTTTTATTTGGATGACCTATTTAATTAGTTTAACTTGAATTTATTTTTATTTACAAAATTGTTGAAGGATAATAACATAAAATGCTCTACTAATCTATCTATTAATCTATTTGAGTGTCTACTCTATTACATTTTCTTAGTTTTTGTCATACAATCCAATTTCCTCTAATATCTTATATTCCTTAAAAATATCATATAAATATCAAATATGAATGATATAGTTGGTTGGCATAAACATACAAAATATGATCAAATAAATAATTGGTTTTATTTTCATGTTCTTCGCATTGTTTGTTATTAAGTTCATTAGTAATAACATGTAAATTCTAGACATAAATTTAGATATCACAAGTACGCCTAAATCATTGTATACTTGTGCGGGGAAGAAGATAAGTAGAAACAATAGTGACCTCATTAGAGAAGTACATGGACGAAGGCAAACTGGAAGCACAGTGAGAAGTGCCGAGTTCTACTGAGCTCGTATGTCCCAATTGCCGATGAAGCTAACAGTTTACTACTCCCTTAATGCCTCTCTGTAATCTTTGCACTGTTCTGATTCCCTCGTGGAAGAAGAGATCAATCAAGTGTTCGTCGTGGTCATGGGCCTCTCGAGCAGCGCCGATAGGTACCACTCATTCTTCTCGATCCCCCGGTCGAGCTTGCGGCCGGTGACCCAACGTAGCTTGTTGAAGCCGACGCGCTCGATCATGGGCACGTAGGTGGCGTTGAGCTGCTCCCCTGTGCAGAAGAAGTGGTCCAGCCAGAACAGCCCGCCCGGCCGCAGCACCCTGTACACGTCGTACAGCGCGAACTCCAGCATCGGCTCCGGGATCCAGTTGCTGAGGACGTGCATCGAGTGCACGATGTCGAGGGTGTTGTCGAAGAAGGGCAGGCGGTGGGCGACGCTGA